CTGAATTATGGTGGGCACTAAATCCAATAACTGGTATTCTTATAAGAAGACTATGTGGAAACATAGAAATACACAGAGGAGGACACCATGAGAAGGTGGAGATATATATCAGAATGACAGGTCTACGAGCCAAGGATTGCCAGCAGTCACCAGAAGCTAGGAGAGAGGCATTAGACAGATTTTCCCTCAGAGCTTCCAGAAGGAACCAACGCCTTAATTTTGGGACTTTCAGCCTCCAATACTGTGCAAAAATAAATTTCTGTAGTTTAAAGTCATCAAGCTTGTAATTTTTTACAGCAGCCCCAGAAAACTAATACAGAAACAAAATTAAAAAAAAAGAAACTCACTAGATAGGCTCAATAGAAGAATGGAGATAATATTGTATTAGATAATAAACAATGTGTATTTACATAATGAAATACTACTCAGCAACAAAAAGAAATGAACTACTGATACACCCAACATGTGCAAATCTCAAATGCATTGTGTTAAGTGAAAGAATTCAAAAGGCTACATACTGTAGGATCCCATTTATATGAGGTTCTAGAAAAGGCAAAGCTATAGGGATTGAAAACACATCAGTTATTGCCAGGGCCAGGGATGGGAGGAGGGTTAACTAGAAAGAGATTTTGCACAAGGGAATGTAGGACGATTATGAAACCATTCTATGTATCGATTGCGGTGGTTATATAATAGTATGCCCTTGTCAAAACTCACAAAACGCCAGATGGGCGCTAGAGTAATCGGGGGATCACTTCATGGATTGTATAAATGTCTAACTTTTTAAAATTTAAAATAAAATAAAAACTCATGGAACATACACTAAAAAAAGGTGAATTTTAATGTATGTAAAATATACCCCAGTAAACCCGAATTTAGAGATACTAAAGTACAAATATGAGAGGAAATAAAAAGAGTGGAACCTCATACCCATTAGGATGGCTGCTATCAAAAAATAATAAGTTTTGGTGAGGAAGTAGAGAAATTGGAAACCTCGTGCACTGTTAGTAAGAATGTAAAACGGTGTAGCCACTGTAGAAAACATTTTTTGCGGTTCCCCCCAAAATTAAAAATAGAATTATCATATGATCTAACAATTCTACTTGTGAGTATATACCCCAAAGAATTTAAAGCAGGGTCTTGAAGAGATATTTGTATACCCATGCTCATTGCGGCATTATTCACAATAGCCAAATCATGGAAGCAACCCAAGTGTCCATCAATAGATGAATGGATAAACAAAATATGGTATATATATATAGAATATTATTCAGCCTTAAAAAGTAAAGGAATTCTAAAAAAAAAAAAAAAATTCTGGCACATACTATAACATGGATGGAACTTGAGGACATTATGCTAAGTGAAATAAGCAAGTCACGAAAAGACAAATATTGTATGATTTCATTTATATAAGGTACCTAGAGCAGTCAAATTTATAGGGACAGAAAGTAGAAGGGTGGTTGCCAGGGGCTAGGGGAGGGAAAACCCAGGAGCTGTTATTTAATGGATATTGAGTTTCAGTTTCGTAGGATGAAAAGAATTCTGGAGACAGATGGTGGTGACGGCTGCACAACATTGTGAATGTACTTAACACTACTGAACTGCACACTTAAAAATGGTTAAGATGGTAAAGTTTATGTTATGTGTACGTTACCACAACTAAGAAAAAAAAAGAGTGGCGGTTTTCCACTTAAGAGCCTTGGAGTTGGCCCGCGAGGCTTACCAGCTATGCGTCACTGGATACGTCCCTCTCCCTACTAGTGGTTTTCCTCATGTACATAGAAGGACCGAACATGATGGAATATGGAAAAACTGCTCCGGGAGCCATTGCTGGGGTACCAGGTCGGGTCGTGGGGAACTCTGTCTCCTAGGGGATGAACCGCCTAAGCAGGCGCAGTTTCTGGAGAGAGGAGAGTGAGGGGTGACAAGGACAGACTAGAACAGAATGGCGAGGCACCCGGGCCAGGCTCCCAGCGTTGAATCCAGCCGCCTTGCCTCAGCTGCAGGAGCCCTTCTGGGGCCCTCTGGACCCTCTGGACAAGCAGCCTGGTGGTCGAGTCCTGAGTGGTCTGTAGCTCGCTCACTTCTCCAGTTTCAGCCTCTGCCACTCTTGGCCCCGACTTCCTTTCTTTCTTTCCTTTCTTTCTGTTTTTTTTTTTTTTTTGTAATGCCTACAGCACCGGGTATTCCTAGGCCCCTACTTTCTACTCTGGCAACTTATAACTGTTCATAATTCCCCTTCACACCTCTATTTTTTAGAATTTTTTCTTTTGAGAATGCCCTGCCCACCTCACACCCCTTTGCCATTCCTCAGTGCCATCTCTAAGAGGACTTCCCTGACCTCCTCAGGCTGGTCCTCTTGTGTTCCAACAGCCCAAGAAACTACCTTTATCATAGATAATACTACTTACTCCACTTTTGCAAAAAAAATACTTATTAGGTACCCATTATCTGCCAGGCGCTATTCTAGGATCTTGGGGTTTATCGATGAATGGAACAGACAAAACTCTCCACCCTTAAGGAGCCCATATTCTAGAGTTACTGTCCCCCAGACTTTTGAGCTTCCCGAGGCAAGCTCTGCCTATGTTGCTGTCGTTGGTGCCTAGCACACGGTGGGTCCCCAGCCCTGGGTGCCCAGGGGCTCAGTGGCAGGTGTAGATGATTCTGATGCAACCCACCAGAGTCTAATAGAGCCCAGTTGTGAGAGCTGAAATTGTGCTGGCAAAGAGAGGGATGCCTGAGCAGGCAGAGGGACCAAGGAATACTGGGGTAGACGGGAGAAAGGGGTGGGTGCCCTCCATGTCTTCCCTCCCAAGTCACCTCCTCAGTTTCTTCCCTGGGCCACAGCATTTTAGCCACACACATCCCTTCTTCACCCTAATAATAAGAAACATTTACATGTAAGAAGCTGTCCTACTAGTGCAGGCTAAGTCCACCATCGCTAAAAGGCAGAGCTAAGCACTCTCTATGCACGGTAGACACGGTATGGTGTGGAGTGGTCCCCACACGTGGCTGGGTACCAGACTGGCCGACTCTATGGGTTGGTGCCAGAGAAGCCATTTTTCACAAACTCTTCAAGTTATTCCGATGCAGCCAGCTCGGCAGAGGATTCGGAGCAGTTGTCAACATCTCCCACAGTCTGTCCCAGCCCTTCCTTCACCACAGCGCCCTCTCCGCCCTCATCTCCTGTCCCCACCGCTCTCTCCCCTCACCTCCTTCAGGTCTCTGCTGATCCCATCTTGTTGGTGAGTCTTTCCCACTCCACCTTTTTTAATACAATGAATCTTCTACCTTTGCTCTCCTACCCCCTCTGCCCTGTTTAATTTTCTCCATACACTTATTTCCATCTGACATAACAATGGTATGCTGGAACTGACCTATAAGGGTTCACTGAAGCCTACTGCATTTTCAGGAACTCTGCTGGCTGGTTGTTAAGCATAGCTGCCATTAAAAATTAAATCATATAAGCTTAATTAAATTAATGATATTAAAAACAAAGGTTAAAATGCTCAAACTCATCATCTTCTATTTTTCTACCTTTTACTATTACCTACGTGCCTGAGAGCCTTTAGATCTGTAGAAATATAATAGAAACATGTAATATATAATGGTATGCTACTCTGCATTTCTGTTCAACTCTGTATTCAGTGACATCACATTGGTAACTTGAAGTCAGCCGTGGTAGGAGTGTTTACACCACAGAAATAGGTAAACATGATAAATCGGGTTTGATTCATTGTTATCTTGACCAAGGATTGGCTAAGGGCCAAATCCAGCCCATCAACTATTTTTGTAAATAAATTTTTATTATAATACAGCCATGCCCACTTATTTACATACTATCCATGACTGCTTTCACACTACAGCAGCAAAGGTGACTGGTTGCAACTCTATGGCCTACAAAGCCTAACATATTTATATCTCGCCGTCTACAGAAGAAATTCCTCGACCCCTGGTCTAGCCTTAAGAGAGTAATGGAGATGTTAACAATGCAGATTAAAGGTAAATGTGTGTCCTATCTATAGCTGTTACATGTAAATAGCAACTCTCATCTCCCCAAAACATTTTTTTATAAAATATACTTCCAGTATTTGAAAAACTGATCTAATACAGCAAATACGTTGATCATGTCATTGATGACTGCGTAGAATTCCAATATCTTTGTTCTTGCACAGTTTTCACTTTATTCTTACTCGTTAGTGTAAAATACCAACATTCACATTGCAACCATAGGTTGGCTATGGATACAAAGTTAGGCACAATTCAAAAGTATATTGTAAAAATCAACTGGCTTTGTGGGATTTACAATAAAGAGTATTGCAGAATTTCATTATTTCCGATTTCTATCAGAAACACACACACACACACACACACACACACTGTTTCAGAGAGCCAACTGTTAAACATTTACAAGTACACTGCTGTTTTGTTTACATCCACTAGAATGTAAGTTGTTTGAGGGTGAGAATTGCCTTTAATTCCAGCACTTACAACAACACCTGACGTGTAGCAGGTGCACGGTTAACGTATGTGACATGAATAAATAGATGGGCACAGTTGGGAACCCCTGATTTCATGAGTTGACTATCAGACCTTGGGTTTCCAGCTTGACCCTTATCCAGCTGTGTGGTCTTGAGTAAATTATTTAACCTCTTTGAATCTTGGCCTCTTCATTTAAAAAGATGGGAGGATCCTCCTACCTCGCAGGGAAGTAGTGACAATATATGCCTCTGCCTGGCACCTACTAGGTTTCTCCACAGATGGGAGTTTCTTCCTCACCCTCCATCCTCTGCCCTGCCACACACATACTCCTTGGAGACCCAGCCCTGCTGCTGTCATACATTTCAGTGATGTCACAGCTTCCCTCCCTGGGAGCTACAGCACAAGCACCCTGATCCCAGCCTGAGTGCTGGCTGAACTGAGAGGGGCAGGACACAGGACGTAGGCAGCACCTGGTACCGGTCTTGCTCTGTCTGTCTTTGAGGCCTCACAGGCCCAGCATGAGTCCATCGGTAAAGAAGAGGCCCAAGCATAGAGTGGTCTTCAAGGTTGGACTGAGGGCTGGACCTAGAGGGGGGTCTTACAAAGAGTCTAACTATTCCCAGGACAGGTGGAGGGCAAGGGAGAAGTAAAGGGCAAAGGGAGGTCATGGTCTCCCCATTTCTGTCCCCAAACCAAGGTGACAAAGTTCCCAGTCTAGGGTTGGTCAGGCGATGCTGAGGCAAATGGAGAGGCATATGGAGGCACTCGGGGGATTCCTCCTGCTAGCGCTCCCTCTCTCTCTGTCTCTCAGGTACAAGATGAGGAAACACAGGACAAGATACGGCAGCCTGTCAGCAAAGCAATTCAGCGGAACCGCCTTAAAATGGTGAGGTGCCCCATTTTGGTCCCAGCTGAGGAGAGCCTGAGCACCCACACAGTAATGCTCCTGGTTGTCAGGCTGAGTGACCCAGAAGGAGTCGCCAGGCTGAGCTGAGCTAAAGTCGGGGTGGGGAGTGAGAGGCTATCCCAGAAAAGCTGAAGCTTCTGTTTTTCTGGTTTCTTGACTGGCAGGTATTAAAAAACTTGTCGCTCTTGAGGCTACTCAAGAACTCAAACCCCCGGAACCAAGAACTGTATAACCTGGCCAAGAGATGTTGGAATTCAAGGCTCAGAGTTCCGAAGGTCCTCCTCATCTCCTCTGGGTGAGCTCAGCCCACCCACGGCCCCCACCATGGACTCAACTATCTTTACTAGGAACAGGCACTGTGCCAAGGAAATTTACAAATCCAAATTTTCACAAAGGCTCTGTGAGAAAGGTATTTGAGTCCTATTTTTCTGAGCTGAGGCTCAGGAGATGAGGTAACTTGTCCCAGTTATCTGACCTGGTAAGTGGCAGAGCTAGGATTTAAAGCCATTCCTGCCTGATATCAGAGACATGATCATAACCGTGGTCATAATAGTCCAATTATGGGTCCAATCACCACCAAGGGCCCTGAGCAGAAGGGGTGCCCGCCTCCTCCCCTCTCAAATGAACACAACCCCGAGATTCACCTGCAGACTAGACATCTTGGCGAGGCTCAGTTTCCTTATCAGTCACATCAGAATATTAAGAAAGCTCACATCTATTAGGCACCTGCTAAGTGCCAGGTACTATCTAAGAATTTTATAAGCATTTTCCCATTTAGCTTATTCTTCATAACACTTCTATTAGGTAGACAGAATTATTCCAGTGTTACAGATGAGGAAACTAAGGCTCTAAGACAGCAGTCCCCAACCTTTTTTAGCACCAGGGAGCAGTGCTCCTATAAGAATTTAATGCCTGATGATCTGAGGTGGAGCTGAGGCGGTGATGCTAGCACTAGGGAGTGGCTATAAATATAGATGAAGCTTCACTCGCTCACCTGCCACTCACCTCCTGCTGTATGGCCTAGTTCTTTACAGGCCACGGACTGGTACTGGTCCGTGGCCCGAGGGTTGGGGACCCCTGCTCCAAGAGGTTAAATTTCCTGCCCCAAATCATACAGATGGTAAGAGGCAAAACTGAATTTGAACCCTAACTTGTCTGTCTCAGAAGCCTGCCTCCCACTGGGCAGGACTGTTGTGAGCGTCCTGGGCCTGACACATAGTAGGTATTCAATCAACAGTGGCCATTATTATCATCAGTATTGTCATTACCTAGAGCCCAAGGCCTCGCCCCTCTTCACACACTCAGCTAGGACGGTGCTGTCACTTTGCAGGGGACCCAATCCATTACAGATGCCTTTTGGGAAAGTCCCTTCTGGCATTTAATACCTCTGGATAACTCCAACTCCCTGGGCTCTTCTCTCTGAGTTGGTGTCCTAAATGCAGGCAAGAAGGTCAGGATCTAGTCTCATAGTCTCCTAACTTTCTTAAAGCAGCAAAACCTCTCTTCTAATATTTGTCCCCAAACCCCAACTGTGGTATTGTGGCCTGCTCCTTGGGGGTGGGAGGGGGGACTCCTCAGAACCCTCAGGTTCCTTGGAACACGATTTGAAAAAAAAAAAAAAAATACTAGACTAGTTCATCTAATCAACTGAAATCCAGAGAGGCGGAACTCTAACTTAGTGGCCCACAGAGGCCACCTATCTTCCTAGGTGTCCTACCTACTAGTCATTGTTTTTCGCCTTCCCAACCTCTCACATCCCCTGCCCCCAGGCGCAAGGCCTCTGGGTGGTAGAGAAGTTGCTTTTAAGGTCCTCTCTAGCTTTCTTAACAGGCTCCCCCGAGCTGGCTCCACAGCAACTGTCTCAGGGCCAGCTAAAGGACCAGGCTTCAGTCCTGCTCTGCTGACTGCCATTCTCCTCCTTGCCAGGAACAAGGCTGTGGGCGATAAAGTGGACCAGAATACTAAAGAGCCCCGGAAGGCTAGGTGCTCCAAGAAGAAACTGGATTCTAAGAAGTTAAGGTCTATAGGGAAGCCTAAGGAATTGAAGTCTAAGGTGTGGTTGGGAGTGAGGAACAAGGCCCAGCAGTCACGTGCAGCAGTGCCAGAAAGAGAAGAACAGATGGAGTCTGAAGCCCCACAGACATCAAAGGATCATGGCCAGACCACTTGCCCTGGAGCCCGGGGGAGGCAAATACCCACTGGGGACCCCCAGGTTGTCTTCCTGAAGACCCACCAGCAGAGAACTCCCACGGGGGACATGGAGCAGCTGGAAGTAGCTGACCGGTGGGTCTGGTATGAGGGGCTGCCCACACGAATCCACCTCCCAGGGCCCCGAGTGATGTGCCGATCATCCACCCTGCGCTGGATCAAGCGCTGCTGCACCCGCTTCTGCTCTGCATCACTTGAGCTGCCTATGTGCCATCCATACAAGGTGTGACAACGCCACTGCCAAGCCAGGGTAAGTCACGGGCCCCAAGCCAGACCCAGAGCTGGGCCTCAGAGTTAGTGGGCTCCGGATCCAGAGTCTTGGGGGCTGTGGCTGGCAGTGCTGGGAGGCCCCATCTCTACGCCTAGAAAGGGAAGCTCAGAGAGGGGGAAACCATTGACCAAGGCCACACGGCAGAGTAGTGGCGAGGCTGGAGTCCCTCAGGATCCAACTGGGGGCTCTGGGGAAGGAGCGGTACACCCTTGGGCTGTGGGTTCAGAGGTGGGTCATCTCTTTGGCTGGAGGCCTCAGGAAGGGCTACAACTGCTATGGCTCAGAATCTCATAGAAATCTGAGTAAGCGAGTTTAGGAATTTCTAAATGTGGGGGAGTGGTCAAGTAGGGCTCTGCCACATCCCATCCCTCTCAAACCAAATCAATTCTTCCGTTTGTTTTATTTATTCGTGCTTCAAATAAGATTTACTCTGAAAAAGTTCCTTGATAAAAGTTCCTTGGCTGCATATATATATATCCAGCCACTCCATGAGAGAATTCAGGTCCCAAGAAAGGAAGCGGGTGATGGGCTTGGGGGGTCCAGCCAAAAGGGAGGCTTCCCCTTCACAAAACTCTCATCTCCAACCTGCCAGACAACGCAGTGCGATCCCTAAGCCCTCTCCCTGGACGGCAGCGCCCCCTGGGGGCATCCTTAGCTCCTAACACCGAGGTCTCTGCTCGCAGGTGGTGTGATGGGAGCCGGAGTGTCAGCAGAGGGCCGAGATCGTGCTATCATCTAAAAGGGGAGGTTGGATGGGAAAATTCGGAAGAAAAGAAATAAAATCTCCCATATAGCACTGAAAAATGCTATTGCTGCCTCTGCCTGTCTGTCTGGGGCTGGAAAGGCTGGAGGAAGGAGGCCCTCAGCAGAGGCAGGGAGAGAGGGTGCATTACATCCTCAGGCTTCTGCCACCCCATTCCTCAGCCCCTCAGGTCAGTCTAGAACCCAGAACAAAGAAGCCAGCAAGCTGCTCCCCTCCCCACCTCCACAAACTAGCCTCCTGAGTGGTGTACTCTATGAAGTCATAGAAAGGGAACATTTTTCGGGTGTGTCCTGGGTGCCAGGTGCCTCACAATAGCCTTGCAAGCCGAGAGGAGGAAACCGCGGTGCGAGATGGGAGGTACTTGCCCAGGCTCACACCGCTGGGAGCGGTGAAGCAAGAACGCTAATCTAGGTCTCCTGGCTGCTCCCATTTCCTTTTCCCAAGAAAGGAGAAAGGTCCAACGGAGCTTCCAGCCGGTCAGGCACATGCATTGCACCCTGGTTATCACAGCCTCGGGTGTCAATAAATGGGTACTGCTGGGCCCCACCTGAGTCACGGAAAGCACCGAGTCAGGCGGAAAGCTGGTACTGTGCCCCTACCGCTCCCGTGTGACATGGCGCGTCCATCATCCAACTCCAAGCCTTGGTTCACCCTCCCAGTCGGGGTCATCCTCTGTAGAAACCATAGGGCCCTGAACATGCAGTTGCGGGGAGGAAAGCCCGGGCTTTCTCCAGACAAAGACTATCATCCTCTGCATTCCCCCAGAGGCAAGACTTAGCAGAGCGGGTGCCCTCGGGAAAGCAGCCATTCAGGGTTGCCGAGCCCCCACCCCGCCCCACCCCCGGGTGCCAGCGATGGAGAGCAATTCCCCAGATTGGGGGAGAGGGAGGGTTGGAGGGCCTCCCCATGAACTCTCCTGCTCGCACCCCTCCTCCCCACTGGTGCTCAGCATCGTGCCTGAGCATCCGGCAGCCCTCACCAGCAGAAAATGGAACGCATTTCCCTTGGGGCGGTGCGGACAGCCAGGGCGGGGTCCCTGGAGCGGGACTGCTCAGCACCTCCGTGGCGCGCTCCCTCCCTTCCTGCCGCCACCGCTGCCTCCACCGCCTTCTTGCAGCGCCGCTGCCCTACTTCCCGGGAATCTCTCACCCCCACCACTTTTGTGCAACCGGGGTAACCTCCACTTAGAGCTGTCTTCCGCTCAGTTTACACCCCAGCCCAGTTCCTGAGTCTCCATTTCGGTTCCCTCGCTGAACGTCATCAATCCCATCAACCTTCGAAAATAACCGCTATTGATCTTTCCTCCCAGGCACTTTCCATTCCATTATTCCACTGTCACGAGAACTTCTGTCCTGCAAGCGCGCTATCAGCAGGCTATCAGCAGGCGGGCAGAGTAGCGCGCTCCCAACCAAAACAATACTGTTGGGAGACCCCCCACCCCCGCACTATTCTTCATGGGAGCCTGCCCAAGGAACCCCAAATGAGGGCCAGAAAGATTGGCAGTTTCTGCTTTGCCCTACAGGGAGTCTGGGCTGAGCTCCCGCAGCCCACCCAGAATGCCATGGAGTAGAGTAGACAGGAGGGAGCCTGTGTGCCCAGGCTGGGATCCAACATGGCCAGGGCAGAGTGGGGAGCAAAATGCAGGCTCCACATGAGTGACTCCCCGAGTGCACTCCTTCCAGGCTTATCCTCACCTGCACTGGCACTTGGGCCTCAGGCAACCTGCCTCCTACAATCCCACAACTGGGGTCTCCCCTACTATACCCTCCTTTTATTAACCATTTCAATCTGAGGCTCCTCTTCCAGGCTCATATCCTGATTTGGGTAGGGGGAGGCTGCAACAGATGTCAGAGATCAGAGACCACCCCAGAAATGGCTCCCTAACAGTTGGTGGGGGGAGGGGAACTTTAAAGTATTTGAGTGATTTTAATAAGTCACATGACCTCTGAGTCAATTTCATCTGTTTATTAAATAGAGATACTAATATCCATTCTAGGGGGCTTTGAGCAAATCAGGCTTGATGTAGGTGAAGCCAGTTTGTAGGATATTAAAATGTTTGGCCTTTTCCCCATGCCTCCACCCTGGCCATGCACCATAATAAAGCCCCAAGGCAGGTACTGGCCCTGTATCTCGCTTATGAGCAGCTATCTAATTGCCCACTAAGGGGAACTAGATGCTTGTTAAAAAAACAATCCTGTGTTCACATTCACAACCTTTTGCTAAAATGGGGTCTGGATTCCTGAGACACTTTCTCTCCCTGTCTGGATCATGTACCACTCAAACATGATTGGAACATGAAAAGATGAGGTGAGGCTGTGGAGGCAGACAGGCCTAGCTTATCAGCTGTGTGATGTCAGGGAAAGTTATTTATTCCTTAGCCCCAATTTGTCTTCAAAATGGGGAAAATAATGGCGGCTATCTCACTGTATTGAGTATATGAATCACTCTGCAGTGCATGGCACATAGGAGCTCAATATTTGCTAGCTGTACCTAGGTCACGGGCAAGCCTGTCCCTCAATCTAACAGGGCTCCTCTGTAAAATAAGGGTAGTGGTGGCCCAATAACTGGAATTGCTTCGATTTATGGTTCACTTCCTATGTGCCAGGCCTAGCACAAAGTGCTTTAAACATGACGTCTCATTGAATCCTCACCAAGTACTATTATTCTCCTTAGCTGATAAATGAGGAAACCGAGGTAGGAGGTTAAGTAGCTTATCTAAGGTCTTACAGCTAGTAACAGGGCTCCAGGACTTAACTCTGCACTGCACTGCGGCTCTCTAAAGCCTTCTATCATTAGACCTCCAGAATTCTGACATGCCCGGGTAGTGTCAGGTGAGGGACTGAAAATCTCAGCTCCCTCTATCCCCTCATCTCAATGTAGTTACACCACCCTTTGCTACTTTCCTTAAAAATCCTCAAGTATGACAGTGGTTTTTAATTCTCTCTCCACAAGCCTCTCTTGTGCCTTGAATCCACTCCTCCTCCCCCAGCCCCTGAGGCTCTGTGGTCCTTGGGCTACAAATACTGGCAGGTAGGTGTTCCTGGCCTGCACACTGACTGCCTTCTGGGACTGCCAGAAGGAAGCTACCCTGATCTAGGAGTCACTGAAGAGTCTAAGGTCTAAGAAATTCCACTTCCAGGGATGCCTATTTGTTCTCTGCACCCCTATTACTCATGGGGACCCGGAGCTTCACACCCCCTGGTTTCTACTGGCTGCCATTCTGGCTCCATTTGGCTCTGATCTGACAGGGATGCCTAGAACTAGGGGTTAAATGCAACCTCGAAACTACATATCTTTTTCTCCTTTCCCATCCTCCTTCCGGGTTATAAACTATTCTGAGCACCACCTATGGACTCTCCAGACTGCTGGAGTTCAGGTAGCAGGTGGGATGAAGGGAGGTCCAGACTTCAGACCCACTGATAGTCAAGAGATACACCAACTCAGTGGTGGGTGGGGGGAGGGAACTTTCCTTTATTCTCTGGAAATAAAAACATTTCCCACATTCCTCAATTCACTTGGAAATCTGTCACCATATTTAATGTACTATACATCAGTTTTTCTTAGAAAGCTAGTAATGTTTATAAAGCACTATACATTCTTAATATTTAAAACAGCACAGTAGGATGTGAAAGTATAAAGTGATTGACTATTTAACCAATAAGAACTAATACATCCTTAAGTATTAATGTCTTCAGAATGAGTTTATTAATGTCATTACTGGAGCCCAAATCCTGGCTCTGCCAGCTCCTAACATGGAACCTTGAGCAAATTCCTTACAGTCCCTCACCTGGAAGATACAGGTATTTTCTACTTCAGAAGGTTGTTGTGAAGATTAAGTGAGCGAGATGTAAGCCACTTAACCCATTGCTGAACATCTATTAAGAACTAGATGTTATTTATTACTAAAATGACATGTCACTGCCATTGCCCGGTTCTCTCTGAAACTAGCCTCTAGATATTGGTTTTATTGTTAATTTACACATCAAAAAAATCTCATTAAGGTCACATTTTTGACCCCCAACTATTGTCCAACTTAGTCACTATGTTATTATTTTTTAATTGGCTCCTCTGACTTTTGGTAGTTTCCAAAAATCAAATGAATACCCAAGGGACAAAGATGTCACCACAGGAAATATGCAGAACAGCACGAGCTTTTGAAGGAAACTCCCAAAGTGGTGTGCCAACACAGCTGCAGCGACCACCACAGATGACCAAGGGAGACGGCAGCACATGAGTGTTCTGATGCCTTTCTCAAAATAAAGTTAGTCACATGCCTTTGGAATGCGGTGTCTGGGGGGAAACCCTGACCTAGGGGAAGTCATCTCAGCTGGTCTGCCTCCTGGACCCTGCAGCCGGGATTAGAGTCCCATTACCAGGCTGCTTCCTTCCATCTTAGTCAGAGCACGCTGAGTTCCTGAGGTGCCTCACCCTAGCACTTTCCCAGCCTCCGCCCAGGCACGTTCACTCTTAAACCTTCCTCCCTACCCTGGAAAGCTGAAAGCCTGGAGTCCACAAAGGCTTCCTGGGGAGACGAAAAAACTCATCTGTGTAGCCCTAACACTAAAAGGTGAAAACTGACAGCTCTCTTGGGCAGACTCCAGAAGACCCAAAGAGGAACACCAGTGGTTTCAATGCAGAAGTGGGTCTAGACCAGTGCATTGCACTGGACATGTTCAGAAATCACCAGCAGGTGGGAAAGGAATCTTGACAGTCATGGTGGTTCACCATGTAGAGTGGAGGACGCTGCAGGTGAAGGGGGTGGGACATAGGCGTTCCCTGCACTTAGTATTTTAACCAAACGGAAGAATAATCTGGGATCTAGAAAAGGAGGTGATCTAATAATTCTTCACATATAGCTCCCTTGCTTGGCTGTGCTGAATTCTCAGACTCTCACCATGGTATTACAAAGTAAGTACAGGCAGAACCGTGGAAAATACTGTATTTATGTACATAAGACAGCTACAAGCCCCTCACAGAGGACACTCTACCCCACAAGAAAAATCTTAGCAGCAAATTCCTATCTCCCTTAGCACTATCAATGCAGGTCAAGCTGAAAGGTTGGGCTTCCTATCTCTGGGCACCAATCATACCTTTCCCACTTCCAAATAAGTCAGGAAAAAGAACTATCACTCGATCGGAGGTCCAGTGGGAACTGGGGTGCTTGGTCTTTCCTAGAGAATAAGCAGTGACTCTATTAGCAGAGTCAGACTGGGAGCAATGCCAGGATTCTTCTCTGGGTCCTAAGGCCTGCTATGTTGTAGGATGGCAGCAGGGTAGGGACCCAGCACAGAAAACCGGAAGTTAATCAATCATGGGTTCATGTGTACACGCACACATGAATGTAACAGGACACAAGTTGTGCATTTTCCTTGTGCTTGATGCTGTCCTCTCCCTGATAGCAGCCTAATTTTGCACCTACATCTTTTTCTGTGGCTATGGATCCAGACACCGAGTATTTCTCCAAAGAGAACGGCTATGGTTCAGCAACATGGCAAAGGTAACAGCTGTCCCGGGGAGGTAAGACAGATGACCCAGAAGAGTGGTTTGCTCCAATCAGATATCCTTGATTTTTTTTCTCTTTTAAAATAACGGGCTGGTGACAGGTATGGTGGCTCAAGAGTAACATGGTTCCAATTCCGTTATTACCCTGACAGAGGTCCCCTTGCTGACCTCCCAGATACTAAGGCTTCGGCAGACAGAGGCCATCCTTGCAGCTGTAATCCTGACTGCTACTCGCCTTCTTGACAGGGCCTCACTATCTCACCCACACCAACAGAGACTTCACATTTCCAGGGTTCCTCTCATACCTGGGCTGGACCTCATCTGGAGGGTCTGAGCAGCCCAAGGTGTTGGCGGGGAGGGCAATTGCCCAGCAGAGTGTCCAAAGGACCCAATTCTAGACATTGGATTTAGGGGCTGAGTTGAGGGGGATCTCCTTGAGCTCCGTCCGCATGCACAGGTACTCCCCGATGACAGCCATGAGTGCAATGCACACAGCTTGGACCAGCCACCAGGTCAGCGCCGAGGGGAAACGGGAGCTGTAGAACCAGCAGCCCAGGAGGTGAAAGAAATGGACAGTGACAGTGAAATCCAGACACTGCTTCCCTCGCCGGATGAAGTACAGCAGGCCCAGGGCACTGTGGGGAGAGGACAGCAGTGAGTTGTCACTGGGTTGTCCTGGCCTTAGGTTATTTGGGGAGTGGGGACAATTAGGATGACAGCATAGGGGTCAGAAGCAAGCGAGATAAAAATGAAGAAAGGGTTACATAATTAGATGCCTAGAGCAACCCGGCTGAGTCAGGCTGGATAGACAGACAAAAGGACGAGCTTGATGACAAATGGCAGCTGTCAGGGGAATCCTGGGGATTGAAGGGGATTATGGCACCCTGAAGCACATGTTCCATCTAAAGTGGGGATAAGAGCCACTTGCAGCTGAGCATATCATCATGCTAGAAGTTTGTCCGAGAATCAATTTTCCCAGTTTTCAAGAGAAGCTAAAAATCTGGATTTTTTCATATAAAATATTCTGACTTTCAATTAAGTGAAAAATGTGTCAAACACCATGCATGAGCTGACAACTCTGTAAGCCAAACAGAACATAGCTAGGAGCCAAATTTAGGTCAAAGTCAGCTGACCAGTTTTGAACCTCCAGTGTAAGGTCAAAAGTAGTAATGTGCAAAGCGGTGCTCTAAGTACTCTCATGAATTAACTAATTTAATCCTTACAACCAAGAGATGGGGAATATTATTACCCTCATTTTACAGATGAGAAAACTGGGGCTTAGACAGATTAATTTGTCCATAGTCCCTGGACTAGTGGTAAAGCTGAGATTCAAAGCCAAGTGAGACTGCCTCCAGAGCCTGAGATCTTAATCACTATGCTCACCTGCCTCTCAAAAGACAGAAAATGGTCATGAGTGACCTCAGACCAGACTTTACCCAGTCAAATCCCACAGTGTACAGATTATGAGCCCGAGGCCCAAAGAGGAGAGAGGGAACTTCGCCAATGGCATAGGGACCAAAGATAGAACCCAGTTCTCCTGATACCCGGTCTAATCCTTTCCTCACCTCATTCCACATCAGAGAAATGATCTGAGACAGAAGCTGTCCCACAGGCAGCATGCGCAGAGTGACATAAGAGCTTTCCTGCTAAGTCCAAACAGCAATGGAAGAAGCCCTGTGATGGAGCCGGGTCCCAGAATCAGCCTCTGCTACCCACTTCAGTCCACCATTCCCCAGGAACAAGTGCCAGCCTATCTCATGTCCAAATTTAGGAAGTTAGTTCCAGTGCTTAGATCCCAGAAGCTGAATAACAAAACTGGTGGTACTCACCAGGTGAGGGCGTTGAGGATGAAGGACATCATGGAGAGCCGGCCTGGAGGGGTGGAAAAGCCCAGGATCTGAGGAGGAATCACAAACGGAAACATGCTAGAGGAGTGACTTGGCAGAGTCCAGAACCCAGGACTCCAGCAGGCCTCTTAAGGAACAAGCATTCCTCCCAGAGCACAGAAGACAATGTGCCCCTTCATCAGTACAGTAGCCCATTTCTAACAAGGTGCTTTTACAATCATCCATTACGGTATCTTGTCTGATCCCTTCACAGCAGCTGGGAAAAGGTTGTTATCCTCATCTTACAAAGAAAGAATAAAACCTCACAGAAGTTAAGTAACTTAGCCAAAGTGAGACAGTAAATAAACAGCAAGAGCAAGGTCTAGAACAAGGTTCGACAAACTGACTCCACGAGCCAAGCACCTATTTTTGATAGAAAATCTTTACTATCTCACCCTTTATGAAAAGGTTTGCCTGCCCCTGGTCTAGACTTCAGGTTGAATGCATGAGCTGGCTCTTCAACAAAGCCCAGAATTCCCACATGCTCTTCCCGGGAGGACAGAGGCTCCTAAGAGGGGACTACTGGGCACCCGCTGGTGTGCAATCTCTACCACTTTTGACTTGATACTACTAGATACTGAACATCAGTTTACAAAGGCCTTTGATATTCCTAATCTCATTACCTCACAACAGTCTCACAAAGCTACTGTTATTGTTGTTGTTACTGCGGTTACCTATTTTTAAATAATAACTTGCCCAAGGGCTGCACAGAGAATAAGCAGCTGGAGCAAAGATTCCATCCCAGAACAGTGCTCATTACCATACACCACAGCTGCCTTTCAGATGCAAATGCCTCTCAGGCCTCCACAACACTTTATAAAGTACTTTCATATTCCCAGGCCCCTCTGGGGCTCCTAACATTTTGCTGAGGATTATTCTGTCCCATTTCTAGAAGAGGAAACAGGCTCAGAAAGATGAAGCAACTTACCCAAAGTTCCACAGCTAGTACGTTTGAACCTAGACTGGATACCTAGCCCTTCTGAATCAAAAGCACAGGCTCCTTGTACTACAGGCCATGATATCTCTGCTTTTGGTCTCATGATTTTGCATAAAGACAAACAGAGATTCAGAAAGGTGACATTATCTGCCCCAGGTCACACAGCTAGCAAGTGGAACTTAAAGGGAGGTCTGACTCTCAAATCCAGGAAGTCTCCATTATTCCTCCTCGAATACTTTTTTATCCATCCTCCTCCCCAATTTAGTACCTGAGAATCTTGAGGCTCAGAGAAGTGATGTCACTTTCTCAGAGTGGCAGGAAGAGGTATCAGGTTGTCTGGAACACAGGCTTGTTTGTTATAACACCCAGTCCCTTTCCTTTGTACTAAATCTGCCTCTGCTACCAGTCAGTCCATTTTACAGATGGGGCAGCAGAAGCTCAGGAAGGTAATAACCCAGCTAGGTCTAGAGCCCCGTAGTGTCGGACCACAAAGCCCACCCGCTGAGGCCGAGATCTCACCCGCGCCGGACCGGGGACCTTACCTCTGCCTCGAACATCTGGTCCAGCGAGGGGCTGCTGCGCACCAGCCCGTCCACCAGCGCCAGCCACAGGCCCAGAGAGCCGTAATAGACGGTCTGCATGAGGACGATCTGCGACAGGATCAGCAACGGGTCCCACACGTAGCTACGGAACTGGCCCGCCATGCCGGCCCGCGGGACCCGGCCACTGCCCGGGCCTGGATCAGCGCCGCCGCGCCATGGGCTGCAGCCCGCCGCGGCACCTGCGAGGACACACGCCGGGCCTCAGCCGCTGGACCGGCACCATGGCAACGCCGCCCAGTCTGGGAGGAGGGACTGGGACCGAAGGGGAGAGCCCATTACAGGAGTTGGGGAGAGGGCGGGACGGACAGACCCATTCGCAGAGTGAGGGGAAATCTTGCCCGTTCCAGCTGCTTGGGCCCCGCCCTACTCAAGCTCCTTTGGGGTCCACTCACCCGTGACCGACTTGCGGTTCAAAGAGTCCGAGCGCGGCCCAGCCTCATCGACAGGACCCCGAAACAGTCCTGACAGACAGGACCATGGAGGAGAGGCCCTACCGGCCTAGAGAGGCAAAGCTCCAGAGACGGCGGCTGCTGCAGCGGCTGCGTAGGAAAGAAGCGTTTCCGGAGACGGCGGCGGAGGGGCGGGGCCGAGGTTGCGCAGGCGCAGTGGGTGCAAGCTTCGGCTAAACCACCTAACCGAGGGGACCGGCCGCCGGGTAGCGAAGTGTGCACATGCGCAAAATAAAGAATGACGACGGTCGGAAGTGAGGCACAGGATCGGTAGAGTTTGCGTGCCCTCTAGAGGGGAGTTTTGAAGAAAAAGAAGTTCATCTAGAAGAGAAGAGAGGGGCATAGTCAAGGGCGAGGCAAAGATGTTTGGGAATAAACGAGGCGATAAATGTTGACTCTATCTTCAGCCTAGATTTCCAGTGTTTTCTTTCTCGTAAAGTCTGGGATAACTCGAAACTTGCCACTGTTGGCGTTTTTCAGATGATTAAGGGTCAGGGAAGGAAAGCAACATACTTTCTGTCTCAAAGACATAGAGTTAGTGGCAGTCAGGATTAGAATTAAGGTGTTGCCAACACTACGGCATTGATTTTGTACCTACTGGAAGCTAATGAGACAGTCCCTGTCCCCAGACAATTTAATTAGAAGGCCGAGCAATGAGTGTTTTATCATGTATCCATATATATTTATAATGGGGGGGGAGGGGACAGCTGATCCTGACTCTGCCCACCTCCATGACTGTTTTCTTTCACACTGTTTTCAAATAGCATGGACAGTCAGTAAATATTTGCTGAATGAGTCAAGAACAGAGAAAGGGCAACAGCAACCCGATGAGTCACTTTATTCTTGCCTCGTCAGACCAAACCCCCTCAATTTCATTGATTCTAGGTTCCCCCTTTCCAGAATGGAAAGAAAGGAAGTAACTGCTTCCAAGAAAAGAACCTGGGTTTCAAATCCAGCTCTACTAGCTGTGTGACTAGCAAGCCACTTCCTTCTTTAAACCTCAGCTTCCCTGTTTATGAAATGAGGAATCAAATAAGATTAATGTTTTCGACATTTAATCTACCCTCCACTAATTGTTTTCCCATTAAAAAAAAAAAACTTATCCAAGATCCATGTAACTGCCCATCAGAACTTCTGAACAGCATATGATAACCATATTATCACCTTGGGTTGATACGATTCCAGACAAAAGTAAAGAAACAAGACTTTATCAAAAGTATGTGATTTCCTTTATCATTTGGAAATACTGTAAACATTCATTTGGATTCCAGTTTGAAAGTCGTTAAGGCCCAAAGATTTCTGATGTGTTTTCCAGCTCAACCATTCTTTGAGGTGCCTCAATTCGGTTCAACAAATATATATTCAGAACCCTCTGGTTTCGTATCACTCATATGATCTTGTGTTTCTGAGAAAACATCTATTTATTAAGTACCCAGGTGATCTTGTTTCATTCTCACAATCCAAGAAGGTATTATCCTCCTTTTGAAAAGTGGAAACTGAGTCTTGGGGTAGGAGAACTCTACTACCTAAGTTAGAGTGCTCATAGGAAGCTGAGCTAGGATTCAAACCCAGGACCTTTGACTCCAAACCCCAAAATACCATTCCAGAAGAGAGACAGAGACAGAGACAGAGACAGAGTGAAGGAAGGAAGGAGAGGAAGGGAGGAGATGGTGAAACCAGTGGTGGAGTACTGGGAAGTGGAAAAGAAGCAGCGAGCAAATCCCACCACTCAAGTAGCTATGGGGCGAGGGATTAAAGAGTGATAGGAGGAGAGGCTCAGGAAAAGTGCTTGAGAGGTTTGACTTAGTTCTGGAAAGCAGCTTTGTCTTCCTTCCAGGTAGTGGAATGTGTGGCTCTTCCTGAGGCAGGCCCCTGACGTCACAGCTGGACCTTCTCCACCCCACCTCCTCCCACAGAGGGAAGGCATTCCCTATCCATTCCCCTGAAATGGAAAGAGCCAATAGCCTGAGGCATTGGGGCCAGCTGCATAGCTGGTACTGATGTCTGATGTCTTCCTAGAGCTTGGAATATGCCTCTGGGAAACCCCCAAGGGGCCAGCAGGACAGCCTATTGCAGTTTCCTTTTTCCTGTAGGATTTCAGCTATTAAATTCTCACCTTTCCAAGCACCAGAAATGGGCACCATCCCATGTCTTAATTAGGGTGCAACGAGGAAACCAAGGGCTGAGGAAAACCACAGTAACTCCCTTGGCTAGCCTCCTTGGTCCATTTTGACAATTTGACCACAGGCAGCCTGGAGATGAAGAATGAGCTTCAGGTTCAAACCACAAAGCATGAGCTAGGGCCGCACTGACTTGTCATGTGATCTTGGGCAAGTTCCATGCTGGTTCTTAGTATTCCAAACTATTAACTGAAAGAGGGGTTAAGGACTCAACCTCCAAATGCAGTCCATGGCCCTGTGCCATCTGAATCACCAGAGGAACATATTATACAGTCAGGTTCCCAGGTCTTGTTGCAAACTGAAGGCCGAATCTCTAGAAGCATAAATCTGTATATTTAAAGAGCTCCCCAAGTGATTCAGAGGCACAGCCATATTTGACAATTACAGAACAAGATGATCTGTAATTTACTTCAAACCAACTCCTCCTTCTGACAGAATTTCTCTGTGACCTTACCAGGGTTTTTAGGCCTCGGGGTTTTTTTTTCCATCTGTAATGCGAGGGGATTGGACTAGAAGAGCTGATCTCTAAGGACCTCTCTCCCACTGCCAAGTGTGTGGTTCCAAACTTATGAATGAAACAGAATGACAAACAGCCACAAGCTGGGACAAACTGTCCCCCGGGTGCAGAAGAAAGGAGTGCTTTTCATTGCTTGGTCACTTACATCACTCCCACACTGGCCCCCCACTATGGGCAAGTAAGGACAACTGTTGCTGGCATCACTTTCCAGATCTACCCCCATAAATCCCTTGGGAAATGTCCTCATACAGGCCTATGGGCTTTGGGTCCCTGCTTGAATTCAGATCTTGTCTCTACTGTCTTTCTGGGTGACCTTGGGAGAGTCACTTCATCACTCTGAGTCTCAGTTTTCACCTCTGTAAAATGGGGATCAGAATAATGTCCAGTCATGGGCTGTCCTGAAGATCAAATGCGAGTTTAATCCACTGCCTGATATAAACATTAGCAATATTAATTATTGTTATTTTTTTCTCTTGAAATGTGGGAGTGGCAATACCTGATCTCTCAGATTTATAGCAAAGATAGGTTGACATCATAAAGAGGGGGCCCAGTGCCTGGCACATAGGAGGAGCTCAGTAAATGTGGTACTCTCTCTTCCTAACCCCACCCCCAAAGTTCTCCAACTCCCTCCCATTCTCCCTTCTTTCTTCTCTAGGCTGCCCTACCTCCCTGCTCACATGATCCCTGTTGAGGAATGTTCAGTGGAAACACTTCAAGGGAGACACGTGTCTCAGGGACAGGTAATGAAACTCTGTACTCATGCTTTTTGGACACTCCATGTGGGAGGCTAGCATTTGGCTGCCTGTCCTCTGCATTGGTGACCATCCTGGGCCCTGGCCAGCAAGTTCCTCTGTTAGAAAGGAAACTGGAGACAGAAGAGAGCTCATCGCCTGCCTGTTTTCTCCTTCAGACTGAGAACCCTTTGTTACCCAGACTGTTTTAAGAGCTGTGTGTGCCTCCATGTTTGGAGAGGAATGTTTGCTGAGCACCTACTGTGTGCCAAACACTTTTATTATCTCGCTTAAATTCTCATTTAATTTCTAAAACAAACCTGTGAATTGAAGATACAATATTCCCACTTAACAAATGAAGAAACTGAGGCTCAGAGAAGGAAGTGACTCACTCAGGACATAGCTGGGGTATGGCTGGTCATGCCCCTCCCTAGAAATTATTCCTTGCTCTGACCTTGGAGGATTCAGGGCTTTATTTTAAGGGGAAAAAAATCTGTTTTCTTCACCTTTTTCATAATCATTCATTCATTCAATCATTTGATAAAATTCACTGAGCATTTACTATGTATCAGGAACCAGTCTGGATGATACGGATATACACAAATAAAGTGAATAAAAAGGAAAACTCTGACTTTGTAGAGTTTATATGGAGGAGACAGACAATAAACAAGTCAACCAACAATGTAAAATTTAGCATCAAGTAGAGAGAATGCTATGAAGGGAAATAGTGGTAGGGAGAGAAATCACTTCAGAAACGGCAGTCAGCAAAGACCTCCCTGAAGAAGTGGCATTGTTCAGCAGAGATCTGTTTGGAATGAAGGATGGAGCCAACTGAATATCTGGGAAGAACATTCCAGATAGAGAGAACTCAAGTGCAAAGTCCTGAGGCAGAATGAGATTGGCATATCTGAGGGGGAGCAAAGAGGCCAGTGCGGCAGGAACTGAGTGGATAGAGGGAGGAGTGGAGACCAGCCGTCAACCCTCGCCCAAGAGTTTGCCTCTTACACTCGTTATTGTCTTACAACACCTCCAGCAGGTAAGCAGAGTGGGCAGGTGGGATGCGAAGAGGAGGGCAGCTTCATTCATTCGCTCATCCAACAAATATTTTATGAGTACTTATTCGGTAGAGGGCACTGTGCTAGCCTCTGGGTATACAAAATGGACATAGTTCCTCCCCTCAAGCGGCGTCCGATCTACCAGGGGAGATATACAATAGAGCAAGAAAACAAATAAATCATTGTATAAATATAAATGGTAGTGAGGGCTATGGGAAATGATGTAAAAGAATTTGGGCAGGAACACAATTTGACTTCAGGGGAAGATCTCGCTGAGGAATTAGCGTGAAAGTAGTAAATCTGAACGATGAGTGAAGTTAGCCAGGGCAAGGACGTGCCTGGCAAAGGAGACAGAGCATTTGTAACAGGCCTTGTGCCATAACATCATGATCCTCATTTATTGGAGGAGAAAACAGAGCCCCAAGACATGGGACATAAATTGCCTATGTCATAAATCAGATGACCAGCCAGGCTTCAACCAAGGTTGTTTTCTTCCCTATCCTGTTACCTTTCTGTTTCACCGACAGCGTTTGCTGTCTGCGGAGAGCAGATTCTGAGTTCTATGGCACCTGGAAGTCAGTTGCGCTAGCTCCACCTTGACCTCTTTCTCCATATCTTCCTCTCTGCTCCTTTGGGAACAGG